AACATATAATACGTACGTAATAAAAGAATTTACATTTACATATATTAAATCTATATCAGTTCAAGAAAATTAAGTACAATTGTGTGAGGTATTTATGTGTCATAAGAATTATTAATTAATATATTTTAATTATTTCTAAATATTTATATAAAAATTATGTTTTCTATTATTTTTTAAAATAATTCTGTTAAATATATAGTATTTATAATTTTTTAATTATAGCTTCCCACGTGCTTACTTGATAATAATTTATCTTAAAATTTTAAAGTAATTTCCCTAATTTAAAAACATGTAAAATATAAAATGTAAAAAAATGAAAATATAATAGTCAAAAAGAATAAAATTTTCCGTTAGATAATGATAAAATTAAATATTCGCAATAGATTATTGTATAAAATTTAAAATTATTATAGAAATTCTTACTATTTACGTTATTATATTTGTATAAAAATGAAATTTGTGTATATTTTTGCAAAAAACACAGAAATGCTTCCTTTAGTTTTAATTTGTTATATTCTACCATAAAATAGATTTATTTCGAGTTAGTGACACGTTTTTCTAACAATTGTTATAGCAGTGTAATTATTTATTTATTAGCAAAATTTATTACATGTACTATAAATATATATTTTTATGCCTCCATTTGTACGTAATATGCATCTATACAACAATCTGTGTATTTATTACTACTTCAAAGTTTATTGTAATTCTAGTTGTAAACATATGTATGTTTTATCATTGATGCTCTAGAATCTATAAATTAATGCCTCTTAGAGGTAAATAAAATCATTCCAGAAATATTTACATTGTATGCAATTAATAAGTATACTTCCTAAATGAAAACGTTTGATTTCAGATAAAATAATATATAAATCTGAAAAATAAGTTTGTGTTATTTAAATAATTTGTTTTATAGAGAATTTTATCTGTATATTGTAAATGCATTACTGAATAATTTCATTTAATTTGATATATGTATATACAGTTTAATAAATTGTTTACAAAAAAATCTGTATATCAATATCAAATGTATTGTTTTGCTTAATAGACATATAATATGAATCATATCTGTGTTAATATATTGTAATAATAAATTTATGACACTATATGTAATATGTGTAACAGTTAAATAAAATCTATTAGAGTATAGCGATAAAAAAATGTTATTCTAAGATTTACCTTTAACATGTACATAAAAAATGAAACATAATAATAATGTTGCTCGCTTGACAGTTCTCTTATTTTGTTTTCATAGTTTTTATACAAATGCAATTATATTACAATTTAAAATTACAAACTAATTATATTAATATATATAATTATATGTAATAATTTTTAAGTTTTATACTGATCAGTTTTCAAATGTTAAATAATTTTAAATGTTTCAAATTTTATTACAGTATGATGAGTAAATAAGTTATAAAGATCATTATGTTAATTTTAATACTTTCTTTAGTTTTTTAAGAAAAGAATTTACAATTAAAAGAAAATATTGGGAAACGTAATTTACTATTGGTATATAAAAATAGTATATACGCATATATTTTAATGTATGTTTTTTTTTTGTTAAATTTACTACCAGTTTTGTTAATTTTATTTTGCACATTTTTAAATTTGAAAAATATAAGTAAAGTAACAAGATATTCAATTAAATTTAATTAACAAAGCAATATATAAACTCGATGTTATCAACGATCATTCCCTATTTTCCCACAAAGTTATTATCATATACTTGTTATTTAATATCCTATACTTTTTGCAAAATAACATGTACAATAAATTTTACAGTAAAAAGTTTTTAGATAGAAAAGCAAGATTAGATTATCACATAAATTTGATATAAACTTCTATTTCATAATTATCATTTTGTTCATGTAACTAAATATAATTATAATTCTTTGTTGTTTATAATATGTACAATCATAAAAAGTATAATTATTTTCCATGTGCTTTCAGTACTTGGCAGTATTTAGGCACCTTAATTCCATTAAGGAAAGAGAAAGAGAACAATTTATATTCATATTCTCTACAAATTCACATGATAGTGATGTTATAACATTTCATTATGATTTTATTTCTGTATAAATTGCGCAGGCAAAATAAGCAATTTAATATCGATATCGATATCACTGATTTTCACATATTTTAAAAAGAAAATTTCTGATTTTTGCAATAAAACTTTTGTTAATATTTTTTTTGTGAAATAAATAATTGTGTTGTGGAAACGTATTAGATACATAATATATCTATACTCCAAACTGGTTGTACATTTTTCAATTGGTACATTTACAATTCGTACTTGAAATATACTTGTGTAATATATTCCTGTACAAAAATTTAATACACGCGAAGTTTATAATATTCCTTGGTGTAATATTAACACATAAATATGGAATATTTACTACAAAATTTAAAAGTAAACATATAAATCAACAATATTCTTAATGATACTCAAGTACGTTTTGATAATACCTATTATAAGTGTGAAACAATCCTCAATATTCCTGCATTATAGAAGAATCGATGTTTTGTATTAAGTCATGTTACAAGAATTGCATTAAGTTTTTACAAGTCATCTCACGATGATAATACTATAATATATACGCAGTCTACAAACACAGATCATATTTTCTAAATAACAATTATATATAAAATATTTTTAACATAAATATATATACTGGAGGAAAGCTTCAATGTCAATTTGAAACAATATTTGTGTACATATTTGATATTAATCAGCACCAAGCATGTTCTTTTTATGCTCGAATAATTTTATCCTCCATTATAACATCGATCATAAAGTTTCTATATTACAAATAGTTTGTTAATGCATTATATAAATAAATTTGTTTAATAAACAAAACTGTCTGCTTTCTACTGAAAAGATAAAAATGAGTACAAACTCTTATGTCAAAGTTAGTAAAAAAGCTCACACATATTTTGTTTAATGTAACATGCTTTTTTTTTTTAATTTATAAAGTGAGAGAGTGATAGAAAATACAACAATAGTAAAATGATGATTGTGGAAAGAATATTAAAAATAATTTCATTATTGATGTTACTTTTTATGATTTAAATTAATTTTAAAAAAGGAAAAAAATTATACACGAAACGTTCACCCTTAATAATTGTAACTTCATTATGGCACATGAAAGAAAATCACTTTATTTGAATGTTGAGTCATTAACCTCATAATTAATAGATCATAATGAATTATCTACTATGACTATTTAATATTAATATCACAAATGTTTACATTTAATATTTTTGAAATAGTTCAAATTTCATATTCAATTCGAGCTGTAGCTGGATAGTTATCCTAGCATATTTCAGCATATTTCAGCATTTATTAAATTTTCAGTCATCTCCATTGCAGAGAAACTTTGTATCTGACATAGTCAGGAAAATATATAATAAAAAATAAGCATGACAATGAGTCAAATCACGATGGCTTACAAGATGGAAATTTCTTAACGTTAATACACGAAATTGGTTTGCGCCATCTTCGTTTACTCTGATGTGAATTTGGTTTGTTGTTATGACTATTCCAAGTGGCTTTTTGGTCTTCACTGATTTTATCTATTTCTTGAAGCCGTTTTTCTTCTGGACAAAAAAAAAAGAAATTTATTTAGTATTTGCTTATAAAGTTATGCTACGAGAGTTAATTCTATTTTAACTTTTTAATATAACATGTATAATAATTATAATTAATCGTGCAATATGTAAAACAATTTTATCTCTGCAATAATTATAATATTACTACACACAATTTTGCAAATATGCATAACACATGGCAAAAGCTAATACAAAGGGCTATTCCAAAACATTATTGAGTTAAAGATTTCAATTCCATAATTAATTTATATATAATTTTAGATGTTATAAAAGGCATAGAGACAAAACAGGGTATACACTATATAGAGAGTACCCATTTTTATCAGCTCGCAACATCATAGGTAGATATAAGCGTGTCATTGTTACAGAATGGTGCATGTCTTTGATAAGAATACTAGTAGTCGATTTGAAAAAGATTGTTCAGTATTCCGTTTAGAATCTGAAAAGCAAAAGCTATATTTTATTGAAGTATTCAGTACTTTCATATTATAATTCATATATTTTATAATTTATATAAATATATTTTTTTCAATGATATTTGTTATTTAATAATACGTATAAAGAAGATAAATGTTTTAACAAACTTTTAATGGTAATTTCTATTATGTTCAATTTAAGACAATCCATACAAATTATGCAAGATATATTTTGATTTATAAATAAGTATGTAGAAAATTTATACTAATTTATTAAATACAATTACAGGACAATTTCATTAGATAAAATTATTAATCTAGTTACAAAACAACATGTTGCATAAATGCTACTTATGAACTACAATATTTATCCCACAAATGTATAAATATATAACTTATATATTTTTTTTATTGGTGCCTTCATGCATGCAGGTTTTGTCTTACCTCTCTGTTAGTTGTAAGTGTAAAAACTAATATCAAATAATATAGCAACAAAAATTTAAGCTTTAATATATAAGTATATTAACACATACCACAATGCAAAAGAAGAAATTGAAAGCGAAAAAATGGAAATACATACCATTCAACTGATGTTCGGTATAATACGTAGGATTATCGTCACCTCCGTAATGATACTCCATCAGGTACGGTAGTACGGTCATACTATGCCATTTATGTCCTTTAAGAGGAGGTATAGGCACTTCTTCTTGTGTTCTAGGATGCCTGCATATAGTCCATGGATGTTTTTTAACTTGTTGCAAAGTAAATCTTTTATCTGCATCTTTTTGCAACATTCCTTGTATAAGAGATTTTAAAGGTTCTTCTACTTCTTCAGGAATAGAATATTCACCTTTTCCTATATTTTCATATAATTTATAAATATTATCGCCTTGAAAAGGATATTGACCTGTAGTTATATTGTACCTATAAAATATTTATAACTTGATTAAAAGATGCATGCTGAATTTCTTTTTTTATGAGAAATAAAATTTGATTTATGAATATAGTTTGTTTTAGTGTAATAGATAAATAAATATCATTTATAGAAAAATATATATTTACAATGTAACTCCACTGCTCCATATATCTACTTTAAAACCAGAAAATGTTTCACAGCCATTTGCAATTTCAGGAGGCTGAAATGCTGGTGATCCTTGTCCCATCTTACATGTATCATCTTCAGAAAACATATCTAATGCCTAGTAAAAACAGGACAAATTGTACAATCTTATCTTTTAGTTTATAATCTATCTTATTACTTATACAAATTTCAATTTCATACTTGAATTTATATATTACATCAATATAATAAAAAAGATGAGTTAAAAATGTACCTCAGCAACTCCAAAATCACTGATTTTCAAGGTACCATCTAAAGCTAATAATAAATTCCCTGGTTTTATATCTTTGTGTACTATTCCTTTACTGTAGAGGTATTCTAAACCATCCAATAACTGACTGAAATAGTCATGTGCTTGCCAAATTGGAAGCTTCTTGAGAGGTGTGCTTCCCAACATATCCTGCAAAAAATCTAATAAATAGAAATCTAATTGTTGTTAATCCCATGCAAATTTTTATTATACATAACATTAGCACAAAGTAATAGATTTTAAGATACATAAAACTAAATTATACTAAATTACAAAAATCACATTGTATGGGATTAATTAGATGGAAATATTAATTTTTTTTATATATACTGTCTATTGATACTTATTAAGATAAAAAATGAATCTTAAAAACTATATTTGTTTCTGTTATATTGAATAAGATAGATATAAGATAGATCAATTTTAAACATTGTTATAATATAGAGCAAAAGATATTTTCAAATGTTTATGAAGCATTACGAATTTTTATAAATGCTGAATTAATTATCGTTCAGATTACATCTGAAACTTTAAACACGATCAAATATCAATTTATAAAGGCATATGTGTATAACACACATTAAAATAAACCATGTAAGGCTTTTAAACTTTACCTGTAATCCACACACACAAAATTCCATAACTAGGTACATCTTCTCCTTTTCATCATTATACAAAACATCTACAAGGTTAATTACATTCTTATGTTTTAATATCCTTAATAGTCTTATTTCCCTGTTAATGAATGTGAATAAATAATATTTAGAATTTTAGAAAGTAATCATATATATGTCTAAAAAAATACATCAGTGTAGCCTTCTTTTTTAAGGTGTTATAAATTATAAAAGTCAATAAATATTTATGACTTTTAACATTATGCTTTTTATATGAATTAACATTAAAAATATACACACAGAACCTAATTTTATATATATATCTTAAAATTGTCAGGAATTAAATAAAATAACTGACTCTAATTGTGTACATGTTTACATCATATGTATTCTTTTAATTTTTACATTCATTCTTGTTAGATATAAATACCATAAGTATTTCTTCTTTTTGTGCTTTATGTAAGTAATAAAAAATACAAGATAATACAAATTATATGATATCGTATTTACAAATTCAGTAGACTGAGTGCAGACTATTATCAATTGAGAATTGTCTTAATTTATTTTATTTCAACGTACAGATAATATATAAAGGAAATATAAAAATTTATTTGTCGTACCGTTGAACATTAAGCTCTCCATTTGGAATTCTACGAAGTTTCTTCCTTTTCAAAATTTTCACAGCTCTTCGACAAAGCGTCTCTGAGTCCAACACTTCTTTCACCTTTCCGTAACTACCTTCACCAAGAACATCACCCATAACATATTTACCGATAAATTTACATTTTTTCTTTTTTTCTTCGTATATAATCTGATCTGAATCCACCCTATGGAAGAACATGTTGATCTCATCCAAATCATAGTTTGGATCATCGTTGATCCACGTGACTGGTTCGATATCCCGAAATATTTCATTGTTAATTTCTTCTTCGTCTGGGTCACATATTGTGATCCTATTGTCCATTTTTCACAATGCTAATTGGACTAAAGTTACTGAAAACCACGCAACTTTAACCTAAAACATAACCGGCACCACCATTGTTGTGAATTACAGCTGTG